CTGGGACCTTTAGGCACCCTCACACATCATTAATTGCCCCAGCAGTGACAAAGTCATTACTTGGCATGGGCTCAGCGGTCAGAAACTGTCCTCAGCTTTATTGCAACCAGCCTTTGGGACTCTCCAAGCACCTTATCAAAGCAGAAGGGGATTTTTGGTGTCTGTTCCACCACCATTCACCAGTTTCAGAAAGTCAAGCACTTGCAAGGCCTTTCCTTCAGCTCTCTGAATCACTTTTTTGGGAAGAAGCTCTAAGAAATGGGAACGTTCCTGCTGGGAATGGAAGCACAAAAGGGATCTTTTTCGACTGGGAGTGGCTTGCAGTTGCATAGGGGATAGTTCTTCTGAAGGGGGACTGTTTAAAGGAAGAGATTTGATAAAGCCATGATTCCTACAGATACGCTGTTCTTTTCTTCATCAGGACAGTGATTGAAAACACCAGTTGGCCCTGTTGACTCCCAGTTTCTGGGGAAGTTCATCTGACAGATTTTCTGCAGGGAAAGAAACTGCCCAGCATGTCAGAGAGTCCTGGCAAGCACCAGGAGATGCAGGAAATAAGAGCAGGGAGAGATCACAAAGCTCTGGAGAAGCTGCTCTCCTGCCAAGCGCTCTGAAGAAAGCCAAGCATGGCTGAACACTGTGGAAAAAGAGTTGCTTCCACTTTTTGGAGCAGGAGGGCAAGAAAAAAGGCCATCTGTCCACAGAAGGTTCCCCCAGGTTCTACAATACAAGCTGACAACCCCAGTGGGAGGGTGGGCATCCAGCTGCAGCCGTGTTGCCTTAAACATGTACCTTGGCTGATGAGCTGGGTTAAAAATGGAAGGCTGTAAACACCCCCTGATCAGCTGCACAGCTCCCATTGACGTCACAGTGCACAGTACACAGAGATCAGGGCCAAAATATGGGCTTCGTGTAGCACAGAATATGAAGTTATTATTTATTATTTGTTGAGTCTGTCATTATTGCCTACAGCTTTGCTCAGTGGGAAAATCTGCTTCTAATGACTGCCAGCATCTTCCCCTCTATTTTCTTATCCCCTGTTCCCTTTCTTCATCTCTTCCCCTTTCTTACATCTCACATTCCTTTCTGGAGGTTTCCCACCTGCTTGTCCATGGCATAATAGATGCTTTAGATGTCTTCATTAGACCATGAAGTCAACCCCTCATCTAGAAGCTACATGGAGATGTTCTTCACTCCTCTCTGCTTCCCACACCTTTTTGTAGAATCCTAGAATGGTTTGAGTTGGAAGAGACCTTTAAAGGCCATCTGGTTCAACCTCCCTGCAATGAACAGAGACTCCATCAGGTGCTCAAGCACCCCTCAGCCTGATCTTGGCTGTCAGGCTGAATTTTGAGTCATTGCACTGTCATTGGGCAAAGTCTTAAGTAAATGTCTGTCTCAGCACTCCACAGATAATATTTAAAATTTCTCCACGCACTCTTGGTGGATAGAAACAAATTCCTTGTTTAACACCTGCAGCGTGAAGTTAAATGTAGTAGGAACACACTGCATGAGCCAGATGTGCAAGTCAGACAGAATGCCTGTTTGGTATCAGCTGCTGTGGGTTGTATGGCACAAAAGCTGTTGTATGAAGCTGGTGGGTGAGGTTTAGAGGGCAAAAGGTTATTCTGTGCAGAGAAACAAAAGCCTGAATCTTTTGTGTTGTTGGTTCCCAATGCTCGGAAGTCATGAAGTGGCACTCGGTTCCCCTTCCTCTGGCACTCTTCTTCCAGTTGACTTCAAAATCATGAATTTAGGAGGAAAAAAAAAAAAAAAAAAAAAAAAAAAAGAGATAATAGTGGCTTGTTTTTATTTCTGCTCCAGCTTTTGAAATGCTTTTATCACCAACAAATGGGCCAGACTCTCACATTTTCAAAAGCAAACTGAGATTCTCTGTTATATCACTCTAGAGTTGGCAGTGTAATACCATGACAGTCAGAAGACAGTCTTAAACAAGTGAAAAAGGTTTGCTAACCGGAACTCAAGCCAGCTGGCTGCAACAGGGCTTGAACTTCGTGCTGTCATCCGCAAATTAAAATTATCAATGGAGAAATATATTGATTCTACAACAGCCCTCCTAGCATTAACTTGTAGAAGAGAATAAGATTTACTGATCAGCTCCTTGATCCTGGGAGACAGAGCACCTGCATCCTATTTGGAGCTCTGCCATTATTTGAAAATTTGCCCATCAATGTCCAAAACGATGTTATAATAACAAGTCCTTTCCTCATCTCTAATTTCTGTGATTTTATGAGTACAGCCCTACACTGTCTAAACTTCTTGGGAAAACATTCAGGGCATGCCCATGACCGTGCTTTCGAAAGAATTTGTGGGATTATGTCAGACAGTTCCCAGTGAGCCAACATCAAAGATATTGGGTTGCAGTTTTTAATAAAGCTTAACTGATCGTGACAGCTAGTTCATTCAATAGTTTTGAGCTGACAGGATGGATTGGAGGAAATACCCAATTACAGAAGATTATACGTGTATGAAGACAATGGATGCTGCTGTGTTTTATTTTTAGTGAGAACTGGAAGAAGAAGAAATTGAAATAGAATTAAAGATGGAGCCATAAAGGAGATCAGATCTGAACATGGCGTTGATTCATACAATTTCAGATTATCAAGGGACACTCTGGTTACACCAACAGAAGGAGATGCATAGATAGAAGATGGATAGATAGATGGGAAGATGGATTGCTGCACGTAATGCAGTCATCTAGGGTGGTATTTACACTGACTATCTCCAATGCAGTGCTTGGGTCAAAAAAAAGGCTATTTAAACAGCTACCACACAGCACTGTCTGACTCTGGAAATGCTTTAAGCTGTATTGACACCTCCTAAATTTAGGAAGATCCACATTTAGAGCAAAAATTCAGTGGCACTGTAAAACTTTATAGCCTCTGGAAAGAAATGCAACTTCCTTTTCTTTTTTTCCTTCTTCTTTTTCACATCTACTGGACAATGCCATCACAGATTGCCTCCTGCCTCTGTCCACCTCAGCCTCCCTAACCTCCAAATTTTGGGGACATCCTTCCCACTGAGCTGCAAGCATTACTGACCATCTCCAATCGTGCTCTTTTTGGCGTGTCTGTCTTACCCTTTGCATTAGAGTTACATTCTGGTCTTATATTTTATTACCAGTCCTTACTCATAGAATCATTAAAGTTGAAAAAGATCTCAAAGATCAAGCCCAACCCCAACTCATCCCTACTGACCACGTCCTCAAGTTCCACACCTCCATGGTTTTTAAACACCTCCAGGCATCCTCTTTCTTTATGCATCACCATAAGTTCTTACTAATCCTAATCCTAGTTATGCAATTCACCAACTCAAACAATTATAATAGCATGAAGACAAGAATATACTCATGTTGGCTTCTTGCAGTAAGCCTTGTCAAGTGCAAAATCTGTTCTTCAGTTCAAAATTGCTGCTTTAATGCCTTTTTTTTTTTTTTTGGACAAGGTTTGGTTAAATCTGGGAAGATCATGTGTCAAACAGACATCTCATCCTCAGGATAACTATCAAATTAAGTATCCAATGGCAAATTCCACACCAGGCGGATTTTGAGAATTTGACAGACTTCCTTATGATTCATTTTGGGACACAGTGAAGCGTTGGGGTATTCCAAGAAAAATAATCAACATCATTACATCTTTCATTGGTCAGAGGGCAGCCTCCGTGGGTCAAGAAAAGCAGTCCCACTGCTTTTCTATGGGTTGAAGCAGATACTAACGTGAGATAAGGATGAATTCCATCATCCATCTGATGTGGCACCAAATCCTCCAAGGGAAAGCAGAGACAGCTCTGGAGCAGATCATCAAAATATGTCATCTTTGCTGATGACAGCACTCTTGAGCAACAGTTCAACTGCTCAGCAGGAAGAAACCAAACCATTGTCCACATTACAAAATCCAACGTGAGGTCAATAGCTTGTGATGAAAATAAGACAATGACATTCCCAGAAGCTTCCAGTTCAACGCTTGCCTTTTTGAGGGCAGAAGGTTATAAAAGGTGAACTTATTTATACGCCTTGGCAGGCTCGTGATCGGTGTGGAAATTCAGCAGGAAATAATGTCACAAATTGGCACAGTAGCTGCTGATATTCAGGAGCCTGGATCACTGAAAACCTACAACTAACAGATCAAACCCTGGCTCTTCAGCTCAGACATCCTTTCCACACAGATGTGAGTACTGGAAATCCACCAAAGATGTAAAGAAGATACATCAACGCTGTGGAAAGCAAAGGCCCAAGGAAAGCAAAGCAAATCCCTCAGGATTAAATGGAATGAGTTTGTAAGAAATACTGGGATTCCTCAAACTTCTCACAACTCCTTATCTCCAGTAGGATATATGCAAGCTATGCAGAAAATATAAAACCAGAGTGTCTGTCACAGCAGGTGGGACACTAAGCAGCAGGAGAAGCACAGGAAAGAAGATGCTGAAAGAAAAAGAAATATCAGAACCCAATCAAAGGGTGAAAAATACAGGAGTAAGTGCCAAGGAAACATGCAAAGTATGGAAGAAAGCAGAGAACACAGAAGCTGTTTTGTATTCTAAATTTTCATAGACATTATCCAAAGTTGATGACCAGGAGCAAGTCTTGAGCAACAGTTTGATGACTTGTCAGTAATGGTTATAGAGAAATGTAGCCTAGAGAGAACCTCTGAAGGTCTCTTATCCAAAATTGCTCAAATCAGAGCCAATCCTGGTTTGGATGACGGAGGGGTTTCAGAAATTCACTGCATATAAAACACACTTTGCCCTTGATAAAGTGGCCACAGGGTTGAAATCATGGCAAACAAAATTAGCGCATCCATCAGAGAGATTGGATGGCTGCAGCCCTGAAAACAGAAGGATCTCAGATAAGCCACCTACATACAAGGCTTCATGAAGCAACATCAGGAAACAATACAAGGGCCCATCCAGCCTAATCTGAACAACTCCAGGGATGGGGCACCCACAGCTCCTCTGGGCAGCAGAGCCAGAACCTCACCACCCTCTGAGCAAAGAATGCTTTCCTAATATCTGACCTCAACGTTTCCCCTTGCAGTTTAATGTACACATGAGGTGTGCACACAGCTCACCACCGAAAACTCCAGGTCAGTGAGACTTATAGGACCTCCTGCTTCAGCTTTAAACGTGGAAGAAAGAAACACAGCTTAACATTACCTTTCCTTCCTCTATGCTGAGCTGATAAACTTTGAAAAATCAGAGGAATGCTTAGAGGTAACTCCTTCTGGAGCTCGTTAAAAGCACACTTAAAACAGACAATATCATCTTTTTCCTTGTATTTTGGAATAGTTTTGAGCTCCCGAGCACAGAAAACACATCAGCTGTATCAAGAGGAACACGCATACAGAAATACCCCTATTAAGAAAATAATTAGGGCTATATAAAGAACAGCCAAACAAAAAGAACAAGCTGAAAAGCCTCCAAAAGACGCAGGCACACATTGAAATAGCTCAGCCTCACTTTCCAGGTGATAGAAATCAGCTGAGTCCCAGCACAGCTGATGTTGGTGAAGGGTATAAGCATGCATGGAGTGCAAGTTTACTTCTTTTATGCTGGGGTTAAGCATACTTGATTTTTCTGGACTGAAGGAAGTCTTGGTAAGTGTGGCTTTTTCTCCTGTGTTGATAGGGAGCAATGCAGATGTCATTCAGTATATTGACTTTCAGTATGGCTATAGCTTAAGGAAAAAAGGAAAAGCAGAATGGAGGTAGAGGAGATTAGATGTAGTGATCCTTATGGGTCCCTTCCAACATAGAATGCTATGTGAAATACAGACGAGGAAATTAGTGAGCTGTGAAAAGGGAAGGAGAAGTTAAGGTAGGAGGAAAAAAGGGAAAATGTGAAAGCAGGGAAAATGAAATACAGGCAGCTGAAAGGATAGTGGTTGATATGGGGAAAACAAGCTTTCAAATGAGAGCATTTTGAAAGAGGCTTGGAAGAGCAGGGAGGATGGAGTAAGGAACCCCTAGCAGGAGGGAAGAGGCTGCATCCTTCGTGGGTTTGCAAGCCCTCTTGGTGGGGAAGGGAGCATCTTTATTTCTTCACTTTCCTTCAGAAAGTGCTTTGAAGCTAACAGTCTCTGCAGCCCCAGCCAGAGCTCAGCAAAGCGATTTATCCATATCTCCCACCCCTCCTCTATCCTGCCCCCCTCCCCCACCTTTGCAAACCTGCTTGCCGTCCACGTGCGATCTGTTTTGACAAAAAACAAAGCTGAAGTCCCAGCGACCCCCGCATGCCTCCCCTCCCCCCGCCCCACACTCCCTCCCACACGTGTGCATGCAACAAGCTAATTCCTAACCAAACAATTCAGGGGCTGTTGGCTGGGTGCGTGTCCTTTGGCTGCCCCGGTGTAACCCCCAGAAGCAGCGGAATTAAGCCCTTCTCTTTAAATATTTTTGAATGATTTGCCTCAGTGAAAAGTGAAATCTGGAAAAAATGCTGTCATGTTGCAGGAGCGGTGTGAGACCTCCCCTTAAGCCTGGAACCCCATGAGAGCCATTGCCTCCACTGGGACCGGTGGCCAAGACCAAAAAGTGCCTTCTGGGCTCCTTTCCAGCTTTAAAAACATATTATTTATAGTACACAAATAGCCAAGGGGAGCTTTGTTTGTTCTTCCCATCTGTCCTCTACCGCACTGCAATCTGGGCTGCAAAGGGACGTTCAGGGTACCATAGGTGATAACCCTCCGTGGCAAAACCAAGGCACAGGGCACTGCCTCTCATGTGGGACTCAACACAAGTGGCTGCAGGGAGACAGGAACAGTTTTCACATTGCTAAGCCAGCTGCTGCTCATCCCATCTGTCTACAAAAGGAAGCGTTGAGTTCTTAATAAGTTCAGTGGTTCCCTAGATGTGCTTTTCTTCTCTTTCACTTTGCTCTGGGCTTGTGGGACCATGGGGCATGGATGCCAGCTTGAATTCTTTGCTTTGGCACTTGCAGTCTGTGGACCAATCAAACGTTGGAGCCAGCCTTCTAAATCTGGGATCAGTCAGGTCAATGACAGCAGAGCGTTATGAGCAGCTCTAAGCTGGACTGGGATGGAAAGAAGCAAAAAGTCATGATTTCAAAGCAGGATCCTCCTTCATCTCTGCAACAGGTATGTGGATTAAAACAAGCTTTGTCTGTACTGCAAAGACCGTATGTTTGAGGGCACCATGCCTCATTCATTGATGCTTTCTGCAGTTCCAAATGGCTGCAATGGTGTGAAGGCTATTTCCATGGTGTGTTCATCTACGTATGGTTGAGGACTATTTTGGCTGTCCTGTGGCATGGCATGTGTGCTTGTGGCTGACCATGCACGGTGCAGGAAGAGGGTGGCCATATGGTTCCAAAAGGCCACTCTCTCATCCTTCCTGCCTATAGGAGGAAGAGGTCTGGTATGGGAACCACAGTTAGTCCTGCACCAGAGTCTGTTTTGGAGGAGATGACACTCAACCCAATGTGTTGGAATAGTAATTTTTGCTGTGTGCATCACTAGAGGGAGGGATGGGACCAGGCTGAGAAATAGGGAATCAGAGATATTTGACAGGGCAGAGGACTTCCAATCTGTTCTTCAGATGCAAACACAGGCTGTAAGCTGCACCATGGATTTCCCAGTAGAAACTTCTGCTCTGATTAGTAGAGACTCTTCACTTTTTGGCCAAAAAGAATTGCACGCTTGCTGTTAGCAGAGTAGGAATAAATGAGCGTGGGGAAGGAGAAGGGAATCTGTATGGAAGCTCTGATTCAGGATTCCATCTGCCACCATGCTGGAGAGCTAGTCAGGCTCACACTTCCCCAAGTGATTCTCTCCTTTCTGACCATGACTCCTGAAACTGTGGTTCACCTAAGTTCAGCCTGATCTCAGCTGTTGTGTGTTTACCTCTTTTCTTCAGTCTTTGAATACAGAGTATTAGCATAATGTGTTTCACACCCCCTCCCCCCCCCTTTCCAAAGCTCCCTTGGGAGAGAATGAATACATCAACACCTCCCACTGACTCATAGAGGTTGAGGGGAGCTGTTGATTTTAGGTTGGAAAGATTGCTAAAATTAAATAAACAATATGCCAGACCAAAAAAATAAGTTCCTTTGTCCATAACTCCCTGGATCTACTTACAAAATTTTAAGCTCACCAGAAACCAGACCTTTGTTTGGAGAGGGAAATGAAGAAGGGAAACACTAAGATGTTAGTCGACACGTACAGGAAGGGAAAAAAAAAACAGTGAATAGGAGTACATCTATCCAGAAAGACCTTTCTGGGCCACTGAACCCCAGGGCAACCCAGGCAACCATAACACAGCATTGCTTTCCTAAAGTGATGGAGCCTACGTTTAAAATGTTGAGGTTCTTTGCTCCCAATGGGAAATATCTCAGAAGATAATGCTGAAACTGCCATGGTCACAAACGTTCACATCTGACCTAAATTTACACCCACCCAGTTTATAGCCATTTTGCCAATGTAACTTCTCTGATGCATCCTCCTCCACGTTTGTGGCTAGAAAACAACCTCCTCAGCTCTCATTTTGTCAAGTCAAATCACTGTTACATAGAATCACAGAATTGCTCACGTTGGAAAAGTCCTTGAAGATCATCAAGTCCAACTACAACCTAACCATACTACCCTGTCTCTACAGGAAGATTTCTCCTTTTCCTGGTCCTCCATCTGGTGTTCTATAATAATCAAGGCTGGGAAAGAGATTATTTAGTCCAGCAATTGCTTGTCAGTTGCTTTTGTTTGGACAATCAAACACCTCCATGGACTTGGAGCAAGGTTTGAGCTTATCTAAACCAAACGTGTACAGGTTGCTCTACTGCTGTTGCGTGGGCCTGGTTTGATGCACCTCACAAGACTTTCTGAATAATTGAGTTCTGTTAAAAGGCATTGCATGCTGACTAATTTCTTAAAAGCTGAGGGCTTTTTTTTGCCTTATGTCCAACTGAGTAAGGATGATTTTTTGGCTGTGAGTCCTGAATTGCAAGGCTTTACATTGCCATTTTCATTTTGCCACTTACCAAGTGTGTTTCTCGCTTCCTATGTAATACTGCAGCCTTTGCTGTAATGCCAGTGCTTCCCTTTCTCTCAGCAGCAGATTTCATCAGAGCACACTCATCTCTCAGAGGGAGGTTTTGTTCAACAAACCTGGTTCCAAAAAATGTCCTTTGATTGCTCTGTTGTATGAAACTCTTTCAAATCTGGTAGAAACTTTCGACAATACTCATTTTCATCTCCTCTCTAGACAGTTTTGATGCAATTTCCATTTACTATTTAAAGTCCTATCTTCTTCTTAACTGAAGACATTTCACGTGCTATCAAATTCTTGACTGAACTCTGGACATTTGGGATCAGTTTCATTTCCTTTATGTCCCTGTTCATTGCATGGGAGTTGAACTGGATGACCTTTACCGGTCCCTTTCAACTCAACAGATTCTATGATTCTATCAAAAAATATCTCACTTTGTCTGCTATTTTTATCTCACAAAGACACAAATTTAAGACAGTGTTCATTTTTGTATTGTTATTGAATCCTTTGATCAATTTCTTCTCCACTGTTTTTAGTGGAAGCCCCAACAGGTGTGCTTTTTGTTTTATTCTTTAATATACCTTACTCGGAATGCTTTCTTTCTCTAATCCATGCTCAATGGATACTGGCTGCATTTTTTATTCCTGTATCCTCTTTTTATTGGCATAGCTTAAATAGTTTCTACTTTCTATTTTAATAACTTTCATCAAGGAACTAATCAAACCCTTGTTGACAATGCATGCTTTCCCCAAAGCCTGGCTAATCAGTCTATTTTACTGTTGTTATATATATACATATTTAATTTATTCTTTCAAGATACACTGATTATTTCTATTCTACAGGGTGTTGTGTTTTTTGGGGTTTTTTTTGTCTGGTTTCATGTTCTTTTTCCATGAGATTCAGATTTTTCACATTCAGAACAGTTTTGCCTTCTGCTGCTGTTCCTGACCCATGCGTTGGGCTCATTGTGGTCAATTAAAAACTGCCACTGTTTCTGTGCTGATGAAGGGGTTGGGGCACAAACTGGAAGACCTTGAACTGTGTGTTCAGGATATGAAATGAAACGTTAAAATTATCCAGTAAAGTTGGTAGAAAAAAAAAAAAAAAAAAAAAAGAATGGGAAGTTCTGTTCCAAAGGATGGACAGAGATAAAGAAAAAAAGGAAAATATTTACTCTATATACTTAAAAGGTGTGAAAGGCTGGAAAGAAATGGAAATGGATTTCTTTTTTGTCAAAGTAACTTAATAGGAAGCACAGCAGGACAGGCAGAGCCTGTTCTCAATAGACACTGAGGTGTAGACTTGGAAGGAGACAGCAGATTCTGCTGGATTACAAGACAAGGTTTTTGGAAGAGCCATGTTGTTATGCCAGCATTGAATTTCGTGTCCCCCTATCTAACTGTATGTTCAGGAACTTATTGCTAGATGTGATCACTGAAAGGTCTCATCATGAAGATGTCACTGAGCATATTCACTTCTTGCAAGGAAGTGCTGTACACAAACAGCCACAGGTAGAGTTGAAAGGTGAGGAAAACTTTATTGAGAAAGTTCTTTGCTTTCTCATCATCTCATGTGCTTTGCAAGTATGCACTGGTTTATGACTGTATAGTTCAGTCATACATAAATTATCCTATAAGACAATAACACTATTATATTCTAGCAATACATTGCTTTCAAGTGACCCCTTTACATCCCTGTTTCAATCCTAACTTGGAAATCCTTTTACTTGCTAGACATAAATTCCCAGCCCTGCGCAGCCACAAGCTCTTTGTTTAGAAGATAAAGGAATGAATCACTTTAGAAATGCTCAAGTGGTTTACAATATGCAATGAAAAATAGACATTGTGTTTAAAATAGATGGCTGTACAGTGTATTTTTTTTTTTTTAATAAAATTGTGTTTTGCAACTCATATCCCATAGAGGACAGCAAGCTGACAGCAACAGAAACATGAATCCAGGGTGAGTCAGGGTCAGTTCAGTTTCAGTACATGGATCACTCTAACCCCTTTGAGAACTGTACTGTTCAGGAACTTATATACCAAAAAAAAAAAAAAACCAACCCTGTGAGTGTATGTGTGTGTATGAATCCTCATCCCCAGGACATAACAACTAATTTTTTGTCCATTGGTTCATTTGTTTATAGCACGTCCTGGATGGCTCTGTCACATGCCTTCCTGCCTCGAGGCCACCAGGTTGCAGGGTACGTGCCCTCCCTGCAGGCTGAGTTCTTCCCTTTGCAGCACAGGGAGGTTCATGGTAGGGTTAGGGGAGATGTGAGCCTGGTGTCAGGCCACCATGACACGGTGTCAGGCAGCACAGACCTCGTCTTGTTCTACAGGTCCCAGTAAAACAGCACCTCCAGGCCCTGAGATTTATTACTGGAGGTTATTAATTCCTCAGGTTGTGAAAATACGGGATAACAAACAGATCCTGGCATGCTTTGTTCATTCTTTCTCTCTCCTGCCTATTCCCTCCCTGTTCGTGTGCTTCCTGAGCACGAGAAAAAGGTTAAAAGCACGAATCCTAAAGAAACTTTGGAAGTCGGGGATAATTCCGTGTGCAGCTTGGATCTTGGGAGAGTTGCCTTCAGTGCCTCATCCATAAACTGTGTGTGGTCTCACTGAAGTCACTGAAAGTCCAGATTTTTCCACCTAGCTATGCTGCCTGAGCTGGGAGCCTAGGATATAGGAGGAAATTTGCTACAACTCTGTAGAGCCTTTGAAAAGAAAGGTGACAAGGCAGGACGACGGGCTGGATTTCCCATGTGATAAATAGAGTGGGGTTGGGTGGCTCCAAGGGGTATATGGTGATGCAAATCCCATCCTGGTGCTGAGTCACCTGCTGTTCTTTCCCTAGATATTGGTACAGGGAGGTGGGGGGGGGTCCCTGGAGATGCTCCAGAACAGTGGGACATGGCACTGAGGGACATGGTCAGTAGGCATGGTGGGATGGATTGGGGTTGGACTGATGGACTGAGGGTCTTCTCTGACCTTAATGATTCTGTGGTTCTACCTAACATGGACGATTTACCAGAGCTGGTAGGATCACAGTGGTAGCAGAGAACAATCTTGGGTATTAGGAACAAGCACCAGACCCA